AAGAAGCTGAGAGATTTAAGGAGGGGCATTTTAGAGACTTAAAAACAAATAAAAGAATTTTAAAATGAACAGACAGCCAATGAAGGGAGGCCAGGATGGGAGTCCTGTGCTCCCTCTGAAAAGCTCCAGTTGAAAGGCATGCGGCTGCATTTTGCACTAACTGGAGACGTGTGAGGGAGGACTGGATCAACCTTAAATAAAGCGTATTACAGTAGTCTCACTGCAGAGTAGTGAGGTGTAACAAAGGTATGGATTACTGTTTCAAAATGCTGCTGTGCAAGAAAGGTTTGGCCAACTGTCAGATGTGGTAAAAGCTGGAATGTACTACAGAACTGACTGATTCGTTCATACAGAAAGGATTTACTAACATTCACAAATGTTAATGGGACTGACCACCATCACAAAAAACTACTACTTATGATAGAATTCAGTTTTCCAAATGGCATGATAAAATCTCTAACATAAATCACTGTATCATTATCTATGGTTTTCCAGTGACACAGTCTCACTCTGACAGGTTTTGTACAGAATTATTCAGGACATGATCCAATCAATTCAATTGGAATTAGATTAATTTGATCCAATTCGTTGCTTCATTCAAAGCCTCAGTCAGTCTCATTCACGGCTTCATTCATTGCCACATTTGGCCTCGTCCCTTGCCTCTTCCTCTGCCTCGTCCTCTGCCTCGTCCTCTGCCTCGTAATCTGCCTCGTCCCCTGCCTCGTCCTCTGCTTCATCCTCTGCCTCGTCCCATGCCCCGTTTTCTGCCTCGTCCCTTGCCTCTTCCCCTGCCTCGTCCCTTGCCTCATCCCCTGCCTCATCCCTTGCCTCGTCCCTTGCCTCATCCCCTGCCTCTTCCACTGCCTCGTCCTCTGCCTTGTCCCTTGCCTCGTCCCTTGCCTCGTCCCCTGCCTCGTCCCTTGCCTCGTCCCTTGCCTCATCCCCTGACTCTTCCACTGCCTCGTCCTCTGCCTCGTCCCTTGCCTCGTCCCTTGCCTCATCCCCTGCCTCATCCTCTGCCTCATCCTCTGCCTCGTCCCCTGCCTCATCCTCTGCCTCGTCCCCTGCCTTGTGCCCTGCTTCATTTTCTGCCTCGTCCCATGCCTCGTTTTCTGCCTCATCCCCTGTCTCGTCCCTTGCCTCGTCCCCTGCCTCGTCCCTTGCCTCGTCCCCTGCCTTGTGCCGTGCTTCATTTTCTGCCTCATCCCCTGTCTCGTCCCTTGTCTCGTCCCCTGCCTCTTTCCCTGCCTCATCCCCTGCCTCTTCCACTGCCTCATCCTCTGCCTTGTCCCTTGCCTCGTCCCCTGCCTCGTCCCCTGCCTCGTCCCGCACCTCGTCCCCTGCCTCTTCCCCTGCCTCTTTCCCTGCCTCATCCTCTGCCTCTTTCCCTGCCTCATCCCCTGCCTCGTCCCCTGCCTGGTCCCTTGTCTCATCCCCTGCCTCGTCCCCTGCCTGGTCCCTTGTCTC